TGAATCGAGGCGCGAAAAAAAAAAAACCAAATCGCGGAATCCAAACGAAACGACGACAGCGCGGGGACGACGCGCGACGGCGACGCGCCTCCGCTCGCGGCGGCTCTTCCCGAGGCGAGGCGCGCGCGCGCGCCCGTGACCGGATCGATGTTCTCCTTCTCGTCCTCGCGCGCGCGGAACCCGTCGCAGGACTTGTCCTTCGTCGGCGCGTCCGCGGGAGGCTTGTTCGGCGATCCCGCGCGCGTCGCCGCGGCGTCGTCGTCGCGCGCGCCGCCGCGCGTCTTCGTTCGCGCGACGACGACGCCCGCGGCGAGCGCGATCTGCAGCGCCGCGGCCTGCGCCGGCGAGGTCGCCTTCAGGAGCCTGCCCCCCGCCACCGCGGGGGTCTGAACGTTCGCGTGCCGCTGCGTGAGCATCGCGCGCGGCCCCGCGCGTGCTCCGCGCGCCTGCAGTTGTGCAGCAGTGTGAACCGCGCGAAACCGAGATCGGAGCTTTGAAAACGCGCGCCAAATGCCGTTGGGAGCGACGGCGTTCATCGCGGAAACGGCTCTTTTCATCGACGATACCACGATCGACGACCGACACGCGCCGCGCGATGCATGATGTTCGACGGACACTCGACAGACGGACTCGTCGACGAGATGACCGGGGGACGGCGCGGAGCCATCGCGCGCGCGCGCGCGCCGCTCAGCGACGTCGATGGAGGTCGTCCGCGCGGCGGTCGCGAACCCCGGCGCCGTCGCGATCGTGACGTCCGACGGGCGACAGTTCACGAACGCGGACCTGCTGCGCGCGAGCGACGCGCTCGTTCGGTCGTCGTCGTCGTCGTCGCCGTCCGACGTCGACGCCTCGTCTCCCGCGCCGTCCGGGGGCACGAGATGCCGCCGCATCGGCCGGCGCGTCGGCGTCTTCGCGCGCCCGGGGCCCGAGTACGTCGCGGCGATGCTCGCGGCGTGGCGCGCGGGCTGGGTCGCCGTGCCGTTGGGGGTGTCGCACCCCGTGCCGGAGCTCCGGCACGCGCTCGAGGAGTCGCGCGCGACGACGGTGTTCCACGCGGACGAGTTCGACGACGCGATGGACGCGGTCGTCGCGGACGGCGGTCCGGAGGTGACGCGCGTCGCGCTGCGAAGGGTGGACGATGCGGGGTGTGACCAATGGGAAGGAGACGCGTGTCTGTTTGACGACACGTGTCGCGACGACGACGCGGCGTTGATCATCTTCACGAGCGGCACGACGGGGCAGCCGAAGGCGCGTCGTCCGAGACGCGCGCCGCCGATTCGATCCGTTCGATCCGCGCGCCGGCGTCCATCGAACAACACTCTGTACACATATTATCATACACCCTAAACCACGTATTATTAAACCAACCCTGAACCTCATCTCTCTCACCTCTCTCTCCTCTCTCAGGCGGCGGTGCACACGCACGGCACGCTGTCGGCGCAGATAAAGGCACGTTCTATACACTGGTCCCCATACGACCGCGTTGGCGTGGTGAACGCCGATCCTTAAGGACTTCACTTCCCGGCGCATCTCTCCAACCACCCCTCGTTTTCAACGCCCGCCCTCGACGCCTTTCAACCCCATCTGACGCCTTTCAACTCCAACCCGACAATCGCTTGTATGGAACGACCCTAAAGTCTCTCGTGGAGGCGTGGGCGTGGAGCGCGGACGATAGGATCTATCACGCGCTGCCGCTGCATCACATCCACGGCGTCGTGAACGCGTGGATGTGCGCGCACGCCGTGGGCGCGGTCGTGGAGTTCGACGAGCGAGGGTTCGCCGCAGAGAGGTTTTGGGGACGGTTGCTCGCCTCGTCGGCGTCGGCGTCGGCGTCGGCGTCGGCGTCACCGCCGCCGCCGATCACGGTGTTCATGGGCGTCCCCACGATGTACGTGCTCGCGCTGCGTCACGTGGACGAAGTCGCCGGCGTGGAAACAGAAAAAGAAACGGCCGCGCATCGGGCGTTCAGAGACGCCGCGGCCGCGCTGCGGCTCGCCGTCAGCGGCTCCGCCGCGTGCCCGACGAGCGTTATGTATCGGTGGGAAGACCTCGTCGGCGACGCGAGAAAAGGATTGCTAGAACGATACGGCATGACCGAGATCGGGATGGCGCTGTCGAACCCGCTGGAACCGACGGAGCGCCTGATCGGGTGCGTCGGTTACGCGCTGCCGGGCGTCGTCGTGAAGCTCGCGCCGCTGCCGGAGTTTGAGGAGGACGAGACGGAGGAGTCGGAGGACAGCGACGGCTACCCGGCGCCGCCGCGGGAGGCGCGTTTACGTTTACGCCGGTCCCCCGCCGTACGACCGCGTCGTCGGCGCGGTGCACGCCGTTCCTCGAGGACTTTTCACTCCCGGCGTTCGTTTCTCTCCGGCCACTACCCCTCGCTTTCTTTGATCAATCTAGACACGCCGCGACGCCTTTCGACTCCGTCATCTGACGCCGCCTCACAACGCCACCCCGACGTCTGTCGCCTCGTGTGGACAAACACCCTCATCAGAGAGGCATGCCGGGCGCGCTCGGGGAATACGGCGAACTGCGCGTGAAATCGCCGGGCGTCTTCGTCGAGTACCTGGGCCGGCCGGAGAAGACGGCGGACGCGTTCGACGAGGAGGGGTACTTCAAGACGGGCGACGTCGTCGAGATTACGCGCGAGTACGACGTGCCGTCGGACGTCGTGTACTCGGCGTATAAGGTGTTGGGCCGAAAAGGTTTAGACGTCATCAAGACGGGCGGATACAAAGTCAGCGCGCTCGAGGTCGAGTCCATCCTTCTGACGCACGACGAGATCGTCGAGTGCGCGGTGTGCGGCGTCGCGGACGAGACGTACGGCGAGAGAGTCGGCGCGGTCGTGGCGCTGACCGAGCGCGGGCGCGGCGGCGGCGGCGGCGGCGACGACGCGAAGGTGACGGCGGAGTCGCTGCGAGCGTGGACGAAGAAGACGCTCGCGTCGTACAAGTGTCCGAGCGCGCTCGTGGTCGTGGAGGAGATCCCGCGGAACGCGATGGGGAAGGTCAACAAGAGAGAGCTCAAGAAGCTGTTCGAGCGCAGCCAGTCCCACGCGTCCACGCCTCCACTTCGGCCGGTTCGCATCCCCGTCCCGGTCAGACGCGCACCCGCGGCTCGAGCTCACGCACCTGAAGCTAGCAGCGACCGCGCTCACGCAGCCGCTCCAGCACCGCGACCCGACCACCGCGCCCGCGCCAGACGTGACCGGGACCGGCGCGTCCTAGCCCTCGCACACGGACTCGGCCGCGACGCCCACGTCGCACACTGAAGTCGCCGGCGCCCCACCCGTCGCCGTCGCCGCCGTCGCGCCGCGTCGTCGACGCGTCGTCCTCCCCCGCCTTCAATATCTCCGCGCGCTTCGCCGCCGCGTCCGTCTCCGCGCGATTCGGCACGCCCAACCCGGTCACGTTAAACTCCGGCGCGATCGTCGCGTCGAGATCTCTGAGCTGCCGCGTCAGCCCGATCGCCGCCACCTTTAGCTTCCTGTTCTCGAGCTCGAGCCGCTCGTTCGACTCAGACAGGTCCACGATGAGCTGCGCGGGGTAGGGTTAGGGTTGGGGTAGGGTTAGGGGTTTAGGGTTAGGGTAAGGGTAGGGGTCGGGGACGTGTCGCGCTCGAGGGTTGACGGACGAGGACGACGACGACGACGACGACTCGGGAAGGATGATCGGGTCGTTCGACTCCGGCCCGGTCGGTCGATCGATCCGCGACGGACGGACGACGTGACGTCCTCCTCGCGCGCCGCCGGCGACCCGCGCCGCACCTTCTCTTTGACGTCCTCGCGGTGCTTGCTCGCGCCCTCGTGCGCGGCCGCGGCGTGCTGCACCCTTCGATGCCGCGACGGCGCGAAGTCTTGCGACGAGAGGAACATGATGAGGAGAATCAGCCCGAGGACGTAGCCGCGACTCTGCTGCGCCGCGCGCTCCGCGTGGAGGGCGCCGGGGTGCGGGACGAACATCCTCGCCGCGGCGTCGGCGTCGGCTTCGGGCGGCGGCGACGGCGCGTCGCGCGGGGCAGCGGGAGTATCCAGCTTGAGGGGAGATGGGCCTCCGAGCGCGCGGACGAGATCTGCCGACGAACCCGCCCGCGCGCGCCCCGAGAACTTAAGTTCGACGCGAATGCGTTCGAATTCTGTAGTGCGTCGTCGTCGTCGTTCGATCGTCGAGCGCGTCAGTGCGCGACGCGCGCTCGCGAGCCGATGACGAAGTTCGACAACGTCCGCATCAGCAGCCGCGGCGGGAAACGGGTCGCGGACGACCACGGCGTGAACTGGAACGAGCAGCTCCCGTCGACCGGGTTCGAGGTGGACGCGGACGGCTGGCTCAAGCCCGCGAAGCCCGATCCCGGCGCGACGACGGGACGCGACGCGCGCGAGCGCCGCGCGTCCGCGTTCGTCGACTTTTATCGCGCCGACGACGACGACGCCGACGACGGCGACGGCGGCGACGACGCCGGCGCGCTCTTCGCGACGCTCGTGATCGAGCTCTACGACGACCTCGCGCCTCTCGCGTCGCGCGCGTTCGCGGACGCGTGCGCGCGCGCGTCGACGCGCGGCGACGCGTCGGTGCGATGCGACGGCATCGACACGCTGCACGTCTCCGTCCCGCGCGGCGACGACGACGCGTCGCTCGCGGCGCTCGCGGCGTCGCTCGCGTCCTCCTCCGAGTCTTCGCCGCACGCATTCGGACGCGCGGGCGGCGGCTCGCCGCTGTCGCACGCCGCGGGCGCGGGAACGATCTCGCTGGATTCGCGCGACGGCTCCTTCGCGCTCCTCTTCGCGCCGATGCCGGAGTGGGATCGCCGCGGCGCTCAGCGCGTTGTGGTCGGGAGGATTCGGCGCGGGTGCGAGCGCGACGTCGACGCGCTGCGCCGCGCGGCGGCCGCCGCGTCGATCCGCGACGACGCCGACGGCGTCGTCGCGTTGCGCGTCGGCGCGGCGGGGAGAGTCGTCGACGACGTCGGCGGCGGCGTCTTCGGAACCGGCGACGCGGCGATCGCGTCGAGCCGCGCGAGGGCGCTCGAGACCGCGGAGGAGGCGCGGCGGCGACGCGAGACGAAGGGCGAGACCGCCGCGCGGGTGGAGGCGGAGAGCGACCAAGTGAAGAGCGCGGTGCGAGAGTCGCTCGCGTACGCCGCCGCGGGCGCCAAGCGAAAGGCGCGTTCTATTCACTGGTTTCCATACGACCCCGCTGGCGTGGTGAACGCCGTTCCTTAAGGACTTTTGCCGTCGTCTCTCTCCGCCCACCCCACGCTTTCAATCCCCGCCCTCGTCGCCTTTCAACTCCAACTGACGCCTTTCAACTCCACCCCGACAACTGGTATCAGGCGGCGGGGGGGGGCGACGTCGGCGCGGAGCGCGAGGAGAAGAGAGCGTCCGGCGGGCTGCGCGGCGCGTGGGACGTCCTGGGCGATCTCCCGAGCGACGCGAGCGACGACAGCGACGACGAAGCGGCGTGACTGCCGCTACTGTAGACGATAGAGGCAGGCGCGGCGGCGAATAGGTAGTCTAGTAGACGCGACAGCGACGATCACGAGTAAATGTTACTCGATTGCACAAGTCACCCTCTTCTAAGACGCCGCGTCAGCGCCTCGCGCGCGGAGGAGCTAGATTTCTCCCGCGCGCGAGCGCTCGCCCCGCGGCGTCTTCGCTTCTTCTCTCCCGACATCATTCATAAGTTCAATCGCTCCTTCGCCGTCCTCCTCGGGCGGTCTCGAGTCCTCTCGTAAAAGATCCAGTCCCTCGACGAACCCCCCGCTCCGCGACAAAATGAGTAACGCGAACGAGCTTACTTCCACCACGGCTGGAGGCCGGTGCGGAAGTCCGTCTCCGTCCACGGGGAGAAGATCACGGTGTCGGAGTCGTTGATCGCCGCGTGCGCGAGCGCGAGGGACAGCGGCGCGGGGCCGCGGATCACCTTGCCCTCGTCGTTGTACTGCGACCCGTGGCACGGGCACTTGAACTTGTTCTCCGCCTTGTTCCACGGTACGACGCAGCCGAGGTGCGTGCAGACCGCGTTGAGGCCAAAGTCCGCGATGGAGCCGTCGTCCTTGACGATGATGTACGTCGCGTCGCCCTGGTTTGATCGAGAGAGAGGGAGTGAGAGGGACGGTCAGCGTCGAGGTATGGCGAACGAAGGAATGAATTGAGTCATCACGATAGTTTTTTTTCCTCGCGTCGATCCGAGCGACAAACGTGCACGCCGAGCTGAACGATCGATCTCCTTATCCGAACCGAGGGCGGGCCGCGCGAGGCGCCGCGATCTCGCGGTGGACGCGCGCGCGCGATCGCGCGCGCGCCCGCCGCGGATCCCTCTGACTACGACCGATGACGACGCGCGGCCGTCATCGCGGCGGGGCGCGCGCGAGAGAGAGCCGCGGCGCGCACCTTGAGACCCTGCGTGAGCGTGCGGTCGCCCGGGAGGTGCGTCTTGAGCCACGCGGACTTCTTGACGTCGTTGCCCTGCGCGTCCTTCGCGGGCTGGCCGCCGCCGCCGCCGCCGCCGCTGCGATTTATAGAGGAGGGGGGGGGGGACGCGATGGGGACGGCGCGCGTCAGCGATGCGATCGAGGCGAGCGATCGAGCGCGCGATGGATCGACGCGGGGGGGTCGAACCGAGCGATCGAGTTCCTCCTTCCTATCCCCCCCCACGCTGCTGTGTGGAGAGAGCGAGAGAGAGATCATCGAGCCAATCGCGCGATCCCGCGAGGAGACCCTAGGCCTCCGCGCGGCTCGATGGACGAGCGTCGAGACGCACCCGGGGGGAACGAAGAAGTACGCGAAGCCGCCGACGAGCGACGTCGCCGGGAGACCGATCGCGCCGACGAGGAGGAGGTTCATGACGTTGCGCTTGCCCATGTCCGGGACCTCGCCGACGGCGCCGGACGCGCGAACGACCGAGCGAGACGTCGCCTTGGGCGCGGCGGTCGCCTTACGGGAAAGCCCGCGGACGTTGCATCCGAGCTTCGCCTTGGGGATGTTGAGGGAGCTGGGGGCGGTGATGGAAGCCATGCTGAACTCGCCGTGCGTGCGACGGTGAGCGCGGTGTGGGTATGACGCGCGCGCGGCGTCGACGTCGCGCGTATCGATCGGGGAAATTTATCTCGCGAGCGACGCGCGACGCGAACGGCACGGTTCCAGCTGGCAGTGGCAAACAGTGAGGATCGAGATGAGTCTATCCGGTCCACTATTGGCTCTCGAGTCGAGACTGCGTGTAGACCGTCGTTTCTGAGTCAGGAGAGACGCCGACGCGCGAAGCGATCGAGATTTGGTCGGTCGCAGTTTTTGGTTTTGGTTTTTGGCAGGGGATCTTTTTCTCAGTCATGATGACTACCCCCTTCCTGCTATCTACCGTCGCCGTCCTATCTCGCCGCTCTCGCCGCTACCGCGCCGCTCCACTACGCAGCCCTTCCGGGAAAATGTGACGTATTCAGGCACGAGACTTTTTAGTCTGTACACTCAAAAACTTCGCGCCAGCTGCATGCCAGCGGCAACGCCTCTGAGAAAATAAGTCATGATTTGTTCATCGCCGTCGCCGTCGCCGTCGCCGTCGCCGTCGCCGTCGCCATCGCCGTCGCCGTCGCCATCGCCGTCGCCGTCGCCGTCGAAACCTTCGCCGTCCGACTTCACGATTCGCATGTCCCGGTGCAAGTACCGCGCGGAGACGCGCGCGAGGCACCGCTCCGCGAGTTTCTCCTTCTGACGCATGAGACGCTCCATGAACGATCCTCTCTCGGCGTCGTCGAGAGCGGAGTAGAACCACTCGTAAAACGCCCTGGTGTCCTCGGGCGCGCTCGCCGCGTCCGCGGCGTCGAAGCACGTCGTCAGAAGCTCCGCGTCGACGGGACGGATCTCGCGCATCCGCTCCCAGAACTCAGAGTGCGCTTCCCGCGAGTCGTCGAGAAGCCACGAGAGACGTTTCCTCACGACGAACGGATCCGCCGGCTCGCCTCCCTTCAAAGCGACGTCGGGGTGGAGTTGAAAGGCGTCAGATGGAGATGAAAGGCGTCGAGGTCGGGCGTTGAAAGCTAGGGACCCTGGGCGGAGAGACACTTCGGGAAAAGTCCTTAAGGAACGGCGTTCACCACGCCAACGCGGTCGTATGGGGACCAGTGTATGGAACGCACCTCCGCCGGCTCGCCTCCCTCCTCCTCCCGGAGCGCGGACTCGTGCGCGTCGGAGAGCGAGATGTAGAGCGCGGCCTTCGCGCGCACGTCCGCCCTCGTCATCAAGTCTAAGAGCGAATCGTCCGCCTTCAACTCCTCGCGCATCGCGTCGATTCGTTCGCGCATCGCCCGCTTCTTCTCCGCCGCGACCAAGCTCTCAAGCGCCTTGCGCGCGAAGTACGCCGCGTTGTCGTCGTTCAACCGCCTCGAGAAGTCGCTCCGCCACCAGTAGTTCACCGCGCTCGTGCCGATCTCGCTGTCGACCTGGTGCCACCACCCCTCGGGGATGAACACCGCGTCGCCCGGGCGCGCGTCGTACTCTAAGAAGCCTTTTCGCTCGCCCGCGACTGAGGGGCGTTCTATACGAGCGAATGTCGGGGTGGAGTTGAAAGGCGTCAGTTGAAGTTGAAAGGCGTCGAGGGCGGGGATTGAAAGCGAGGGACCCTGGGCGGAGAGACCCGACGGCAAAAGTCCTTAAGAAACAGCGTTCACCACGCGAACGTGGTCGTATGGGAACCAGTGTATAGAACGCACCTGATAACCCGCGCACTTCGCTTCTCTCTCTCCCCGCGAGCGCGCTGACGACTAATCCAGAGTGATTCGACTCTTCCCCCCCCAGCGGCGCGACGCGCATGCGATCCGCGCGCGACGGCGGCCAGAGACGCACGCGCTTGCGTCCCGTCACGACGCACAGGACGTTGTGGTAGTCGTCGAAGTGCACGCCCCCCGACGTTCGACACGGGCTGAGGGTCGAGGGTCCGTACGAAGCGACGATATCGGGGCGGAGTTGAAAGGCGTCAGAAACGGAGTTGAAAGGCGTCGAGGTGCGTCGGGATTGAAAGCGAGGTGTGGTGCGCGGAGAGATGCGCCGGGAAGAAAAGTCCTTAAGGATCGGCGTTCACCACGCCGACGCGGTCGTACGGGGACCAGTGTGGTAATAGAACGCGCCTGAACCAAAAGTTCACGGCGTCCGGCGTCGGCGCGTCCGCGACGGGCGTCGTCGGCGCCGCCGTCTCCGTCTCCGTCTCCGTCTCCGTCTCCGTCTTCCCCCTCGCGACGTCCTCGCGCAGGTCGCGCATCACGCGCGTCCCGAGCTCGGTGTACCCTCCGCGCGACGTCCACAGCGGGCACTGCGCGAGATACGCGCGGCGCGATTTGGACTCGCCCTCCTCGTCTGTAGGATCTTCGTCTTCGTCTTCGTCGTCGCGCGCGGCGTTGGCGCGCGCTTCGTCGAGCAGGCGCGCGATCGTGCTCCGCGCCGTCGCCTGCGCTCTCAGGTTCCCCGCGAACGCGCGCGTGGCGCTCGTCATCACGTCCACGGCGACGTCCCCCGCGGCGTCGCGCAGGGAGGAGGACGCGCTCGCGTTCGCGTTCGCGCGCGCGCCGTCCTCCCGCCATCGCTCGATCGCGGGCCAGCGCATCACGACGTCGCACGCGGGGAAGAGCCTCGGCGAATCCCCGAGGTCCGCGAGGGAGATCGAAGTGCCGAGAGCGCGCGGCTCGGCCGCCGCGGTCTTTGTCCTCTTCCGCGGCGGCATCCTCGCGATACGTCGGCGTCGCGTCGCGCGAGATCGAGGTGCCGTCTTATTAGTTTCTGCTGTTGTTTTTTCGAAGTGTTCTGTTTCTGTTTGGTTCAGCAGGTGACCGACCGGCGAGTACGTACTACGCCGCGCGCGTACGCGCGTATGAGCATTCGCGCTCGCGAGTCGCGCGCGCAAAATATCAGCCTCGAAAACGACAACTGGCATATGGCACGGATGTGGCTCTCCTTTGACCGACGGTTCGAACGACCGAATGTACCCCCACGTCGCGCGCGCGACCGCGTCCACACCCCTCCCGCGCGCGTCCTCCCAACCCGCGCTCCCGCGACCATGGCGGTCCCCGCGCTCGCGACGGCGCAGACCGCGACGATCCGCGTCTCCTCGCGCGCCCGCGCGCCGCGCGCGTCCGCCGCGTCTTCATCGCGCGGCGCGTCTCCGACGACGCCTTCATCGCCGGTGACGATGAAGGCGTCGTCGTCCGCGCGCGCGAGCGCCTCGTCGGGACCGTGCGCGACGTCGAAGGTCCGTCCGCGATCGCGCACGCGCCTTCGCGCGATCGAGTCCGACACGGCGCGCTCGGCGAAGCAGCACGCCGTCGACACCGACCTCGAGGTCCCGGAGTGGCACTCGCGGTCGCTCATCGAGGACGGCCGCGCCTTCACGGAGACGTTCCCGGTGCGATTCGACGAGGTGGGCCCGAACAAGAAGACGACGATGCGCACGATCGCCTCCATGCTCCAGGAGTGCGCGTGCAACCACGCGCAGGGGATCTGGGGTCGCTCGCAGGCGATGCCCGCGGATATGAAAGCGCAGAACCTCGGGTGGGTGTGCACGCGCCTGCACATCGTCGTGGACGAGTACCCGGCGTGGGGCGACATGGTCGAGGTGAGAACGTGGTTCGACTCTCAGGGGAAGATCGCCGCGCGGCGCGACTGGGACATGTACTACTGCACCGGGGACGAGGAGCCGAACGAGCAGTGCGCGAGCGTCGGACGCGCGACGTCGCAGTGGGTCGCGTTCAACATCGCGAAGCGCAAGCTCGCGAGGATACCCGCGACGGTCATCCCGCAGTTTCGCGAGCAGGCGCGTAAAACACGTGTATTACGCCGGTTCCCGCGCGGCCCCGTCCGCGCGGTGAACGCCGTTTCTTAATTAAGGACGGACTTTTCCCGGCGTTACCGTCCTCCCAACTCTCGCTGCTTTGCTTTCAATACCCGCCTTTCAACTCCGCCTTTTAACTCAGACGACTTCTGACGCCTTTGAACTCCACCCCGACGTCGCCTCGTATGGGCAATTACCCTTCCTCAGGCGCTGAAGAACACGCCCGTCATGGGCGACGACTACGACCCGGATAAGCTCCCGGACGTGCGCGAGATGTCCGGCGCGATCGCGCCGACGACGCAGAGCGTCCGACGGAACGATCTCGACATGAACGGGCACGTAAACAACGTCGTGTACACGGAGTGGCTCCTCGAGGCGGTGCCGCACTACATGTGGAACGAGTTCGAGCTCACGGAGCTCGTGTTGGAGTTCCGCGAGGAGTGCGGGTACGGAGATCTCGTGGACGCGGTGAGCGCGAACGAGAAGCGCGTGCGCACGGAGTTTGGGCAGGAGAACGCGGGCGTGAGCATGGCGCACATGCTGTTGAGGAAGAGTAAGGGCGGGAGCGGCGACGGAGCCCCGACGGAGGTGGTCAGGGCGAGGACGGTGTGGAAGGCGCGGCCGCGGTCGCCCGACCTTCCGGCGCCGGCGCGGTAGGATCGCAAAATCGTGACTGATTGCCCATACGAGTACGGGTACTGTACGTCGGAGGAGGAGGGCGCGGGGGGCGACGCGATTCGATTTGATTGCGATCGGTCGGGAACGCGTGGCGGTGAAGAGTGAGGTGCGTTCTATACACTGGTTCCCATACGACCCCTTTCGCGAGGTGGATGCCGATCCTTAAGGACTTTTGCCGGCGTGTCTCTCCGCCCACCCCTCGCTTTCAATCCCCGCCCTCGGCGCCTTTCAAGTTCAACTGACGCCTATGAACTCCACCCCGACATTCGCTTGTATAGAACGGCCCTGATTGGTCGATCGGCGGGAACGAATACGAAGACGAATCGAGCGAGCGACTGACGAACGACGAACGACGAACGACGTGACGTGGCGTGGCGTGTCCGTAGGATGGAGTGATCGAATGCAACGTCGACGCGTTCTCGTTCTTTTCGCGCTCTTTTCGTTCCGTCTTCCCCCGTCTGCCCCCCCCCCCCCTTCCGTCCATCACGTCTTGAGCGAGATCCAACGCAGCGCGACGTACGTCAGCGCTCTGAACCCGACCAGCATCGCGAACAGCGCCCACACGTGCACGCTGACGTCGCCCTCTGTCAGGTCGACGAACGTCAAAAGCCCGGCGTCGGCGATCGAGCATCTTCCCTCGGCGTTCGCGACGACGACGGCGCCGTCGTCCAGGGTCACGTAGTAATCGCCGCTCGATAGCGATCGAAAGGCGGCGTCGACCGCGACGTCGTCCGAGACGCAGACGAAGCGCCCGTCCGGGTACTGGATCTTCAGAAGCATCGAGTACGCGTGGTTCACGAAGGAAACCTTCTTCGTCCATCCGAGCCACGACGGCGTCTTGTCGAAGTAGAAACCGCCGGTGAGCACGGCGGACAGCATGATCACGCTCGCGAGCGTCTGCGCCGTCTTGACCATCTTCACCGCGGCGCCTACGAGAAGCCCCATGCTCGACGAGACCAAGGTCAACAGCATCACGGTCAGGACGTGCGCGACGAACGCGACCGGCGTCGCTCTGAGCGCGGCGAGCCAGTACGCGATTGGCAGGAACAGACACGGGACGAAGAGGTCCAACGGGACGTCCGCGAGCGTCCGCGCGAAGAAGTAGGAGGACACTCTGAACACGCCGCCGAGGCGTTCCTTGACGACGACCGCGCGCTCGTCCGGGAACGTGAATATCGCGCCGAAGACGGAGAGGAATCCGTTGAAGAGGATGATGAAGAATAGGAACCCGGCGACGTCCGCGACGGCGGCGACGCCCGGGTCGTCGCCGCGGCCGTACCACAACGCGCCGACGATGAGCGCGACGACGATGGCCTGGCCGATCTTCAGCCGGTCGAAGAGCTGCCCGCGCCGCGTCGCGAGCGAGCGCCGAAGGAGGAGGAGGACTTCTTCGTGCCACGCGCACGCCCACAGCGGCGGCGGCGGCGGCGACTGCGCGTCGGGATGTGATGAACCGTCGAGGGGAACGAGGGAAGTGTCGATCGTCGACGCGTCGGGACCTTTGACTTCCCACCCGTTGTCGTCCACGCGCCCGATGCGGTCCGCGCTCGCGCGCGCGAGCGTCGACGCGACCTCGTCCGGGGTCTTGGACTCGGCGTCGCCGCCGCACGCGGACGCGTCGCCGTTCGCGAGGTCGAGCACGAAGTCCGCGGGGTTCATCCCGAACGGCATCGGGAACTCCAGCGCGGCGAAATACGGATGTATGCCTTTTCACGGATCCATAATACGCGCGCGCGCCTCGCGAGAGCAACAGCACCGCGTCCATCGCGGCCATCACCCTCGAGGACGGCTGGTGGATCGTGAGTACGACCGTCCTCGCGCGGTCCTTCGCGAGCGTCTTGAGCGTCTCCGCGAGACGCAGCGCGACGGTGGCGTCTGAGGGTCATTCCATCGGTCGTCAGTTGAAATGGTACAGTACGCGATCAAATGCAGTAGTCTATTGAAACCGCCGGGCGATGGGTGAAAAACGTGACGCCTGTGTTGTCAAATCATCGCACCCAAGCCGCTCGTGGGCTCGTCCATGAAGCACACGCTCGGGTCGACGACGAGCTCGACGGCGATGCACGCGCGCTTTCGCTCGCCGCCCGAGACCCCGCGCACGAACACGCCGCCGATGATCGTGTCCGCGCAGTGGCTCAGACCCAACTCGGTCATCGCTTTCTCCGCGACGGCGATCTTCTCTTTTTTGGCGTAGGCCTGCGGCGCGTCGGGAATGAAAATATTATATTGGAGTCGACGGGCGTCCGTCGGCGTTGAAAGGCGTCGCGGTGTGTCGGGATTGAAAGCGATTGAAAGCAGCGAGGAACGGAACGCACCCGACTCGGCAGCCGCAGTGACGCGGCGTATCGCACCGTCTCGCGCACGGTGAGCGACGGGAACAACACGTCGTCTTGCGACACGAACCCGATGTCGCGGTTCGTCCGACGCGTAGCGCGGCGGCCGTTGAAGAGGACGTCGCCGCGGACGCGCGCGTCGCGCGACGAGACGCTTCGGGCGACGCCGCGGGTGCGTTCATCGGTCAGTTGAAAGGGCTGAAAGGGGGATCGACCGAACGTCGAAACCGAGCGGTGGGTGAAGGACGAGAGCGTGATAGCGCGCGCACCTGAGCCGCCCCGCGACTGCGTTGAGGAGCGTCGTCTTTCCTGAGGGTCGTTCCATACAAAAACAGTTCCCCGGTCAGTTTAAACGTGACGCGATCAAACGTTGAAACCGGGCGATGGGTGAAACACTTTTGTATAGAACGCACCTGAGCCGCTCGGCCCGAGCACGGCGAGCACCTCGCCCGGGCGCGCGACGAACGAGACGCCGCGAAGGATCTTCACGAAGCCCTCGCGCGCGAGGTCGAGGTCGTCTTCTTCTTCTTCTTCTTCTTCTTCTTCTTCGCTTCCGCCGCCGCCGGCGCCGCCCTCCTCGAGCGTCGCGGCTTCGCCGCGGCCGCAGCACCGCGACGCGCGCGACGCGCGCCTTCGCTTCCTCTTCGCCGCCGCGGCCGCCGCCGCCGCGGGACCGAACGAGGGCTTGACGTACACGGAGACGTTCCGCGCGTCGACGACGACGCGCTCGGAGACGCACCGCGCGTCGCCCGCCGCGGCCGCGGCGACGCGCTTCGGAGGAGGAGGAGGAGGAGGAGGAGGAGGTCGCCTCNCGGCGTCGACGCTCGCGCGCTGCTTTTGGTCCTCGCTGACGCGCCGCCAAGCGTCCTCGCTGCAGTCGTCTTCGCAGACGCCGCCGAGCCAGACGCCGTGCGTGCTTCCGATGTCCGGCTTTCGCGGCGTCCGGGGGGCGCCGTTGGGGGGTTGGGACATCGCGCGCGGGAGGGGAGGAGGGAGGGGAGGGGA